TTACCATAAGATTTTAAAAGTGTTTAAAGAAAATGAAACTACTATTTTTAATGAAAGTTTTCTCATATTTAGGAGGGTACTGGTCCTCGGGTTATTTCTGCTTTTGTGGAAATTATTTTTGACAATTCGGACAACCGGTTACCAGTAAGTACCTGTTTCTTTAAGTAATAATGTTGAGAATTATTTTGCTATAACTAACTTTTTTATACTTTGAAACATTTATACCTTTGATAATTTAGTGTATAATAAAATTATATATAATTATACAGTTTACTGATTTTTGTCTTTAAATTATAATGAGCATTCTAGTCTGGTAAACATTGAATGGGACTGTGCAAGCTGCTATGAAAAACATCTTTTCTCTTGAGAGTTTAGAGCATCATCTTTAGTGAGATAATTGAAATTTTAAAATAAACAGTCATGGTCAAGGTCTTTAAAATGATCTTATATAAAGAGTTTCCTACTTTACTATTAAACTAACTTTGGGCTTTCACATTTTTTTTCTTAGATTGATAAAGAGGAAGTTTCACTTCGAAGAGTCATTGGTGCCAAAAAAGATCAGTATTTCTTAGATAAGAAAATGGTCACGTAAGTGTTGTTCTTTACATTTACAGTTTCTTTATAAGAGAAAGTGTCCTTGCCATTTTTGAGGCATATACTTGGCTCATGTTCAGCAAATCAGTATACTATGAACTTGAGAATAAGAAGATCCTCTGAGACTAATAAAATAGTTTAATGATGAGTCTGTACTTCCTGATGCTTTTTAACCCAGGAGCTAGTCTCCTCATTTTTTGCTTATTGTGGGTGCTTTAAAATAATTTATCTGAAAATAATTACAGTGTTTTTCAACAGGAAAAATGATGTGATGAACCTCCTTGAAAGTGCTGGTTTTTCTCGAAGCAATCCTTATTATATTGTTAAACAAGGAAAGGTAAAACAATTGTATGTCCTTTTTTTAAATAGAAAAAATTTTTCTGAGACTCTTTCCCCTTGAATGATGAATTTGGTTTATTGGTTCTAATTGTTAAGGTAAAGCAACAAAATGGATCCAGCTGCCTTTAGTTTTCATTGATTTATTTTGCATTGAAGTTAGAATTTTTCATGGCAAAAAAGTACCAAATAGATCCATTACATATTTGGATAGGAGCATTTTAGCTAATGAAGTGGATTTTGTTTTCTTGGTAACCTGTATTCTTACCTAATGATATTCAGTGTACTGAAAGATGATATTGACTTGTAGAAGTTACAATGATCAAATTAAGAATGAATTCTATAACAATTGCATTAAAAGTACTTTCAAAAAACTACTTTGTTTATCAAACAATTAAAAACTATATTACCAGAAGTCTATCATAATGCTACATATTAGTTTACTTGAAAGAGA